TAAACTACCAGGTTTATTGACAATTATATCGCAATTTGTGAAATCGAGCGGTTGATACTAGAAGCCCCACTTCATCCAACGTATTACTGTTTCCAGATTTCCTTTGAGAGGTTTGACAAGTGCAGATTTGAACTGCCACACATTGCCATCTAGACATCTTGAGGGCTGTATTCGAGAGCGACCCAGACCAAAGTAGTCATCGCCCAGTGACAGTATAGATAATATGAAGTGGGTAATTATGCACATCAACATTGGCTCCAGGAGGTGACGATTCGCGTGGAAGGAACATGAGTTTCGGCATCAGCATCCTCCAAGGCTCAAAGCGTAACTCCTAAATATTTATAACAATTGGAGCAAGCGGCCGGTTTTCATCAGTGCTGCAATAAGTACAATCACACGTGTGATCAGAAGATTACGGATGAAACAAATTGTTCCAGCCTACTCTCCTCAAACACAGCCGTGTTCTGAGCCAGAGTCCAAATGTTATCACTTTTTTCGATGGAATAAACAGTGGGATCAATCTACGCTTCCCGCAACGACAACAGCAAAACACATACACTAGACATGTTTTTTAAATGAAAACAGTTAAAACGGGAACGAGTATCAAGAGTTGAATAAGAATGAGACTTAAGGCACTTGATATTGATAAATTAAGTAAAGCGTTTGTGGCATAATATGTGTTTCGTCTTGTCGAAGAGGAGATCAATCCCGCACCAATTGTCTACTCATCCCAAATGCCCCTCAGGAATGATTCCGCCTGCTCATCGGTCACGACGGTGATGGGCAAGAAGGGATTGGGACAAGTCTGCAAGAATTTCTACAAAGAAAAGGAAATAAACAAATTCAACCTCGTAAACAACGGCTATTTATTGGCCACTCAGTGCTTACGTGGGCATTTGAAAGAGCATTCCTCTTCTCCAAAACAGAGCATCCCTTGCCTATATAGACGAAGAGACCCTCCTTTGTAAGGATCATATAGACATCGTCAGGCTTAATATCGTGTTTGGAAGCCGAGCCTTCGCTCACAATCGTCAGCTCCATCTTGCCACTAGCATCAGAGACCCTAGAACCATCGTCATGCCTAAAAAAATTGGACCCACTTGTAAAGAGACTTGATAATCTCCTTAGGAGGTTCGGGCTCTTCGACCGGCACATCAGGTAGCACAGTCCAGAATTCGTGCTGTGAGGAGAAAGGAAAAAATTAAATGAGTCCCCAGTGGTTGAACAACTTACGTCCTGTGGTGTATGGGCCTCATCCAAGACAGAAGTCTTGCAGCGTCCATTGCGTTTGCTCTCCAAATCTTGCAGAAAAGCTGCGGCCTATGGGAAGTGCAGAAACATCAACGCAGTTTACCAAAGGTAATTCAGGCGGAAGATAAGCGACACTAAGCTGCACTCACCGAACTCTTCTCAAAGGCAGAGCACTGAGAGCCATTGAACTGGTAAGCACGGTCTCCCAGATCCAGGATAAAGACGTCGCCAGAGTGGACCGATTGTTTGCTGAAGGACACCTGGCGCATGTAAGTGGTTTTTCCTTCCTTGCAAAAGCGCAACAAACGCGGTCTATACTCTTCTGGCTTAACATGGCGGAAACCAGAGGCGTAGCCGCCCTTCAGGATGCTGTGCAACAGCAGAGAAAATAGGAATGTAACCAAAATTGTTCATGCCTTTGGGCCAAATATCTGTAACTGGGCTTACACAAGCTTGTCAAAGTAGCTCTTGAAGAGAGGCGACTCATAGCCTTCGACCTCACGATGCTGGATGGCAGCGTCATCGAGGAAGGTGTCCAATTCAACAGTCTTGTAAGCAGCAGTGCCGTACTCATCCTAGGGGAAGAGAAGAAAAGTTATAACGTGCGCACGCATAGAGACAACAACATACTGCTGTGCTGTGTTTGCCAATCCAGAAGTGAACATTGTAAAGCAGTTTGTCGCCACCAGGACTTCGCGTCGCCTTGCAGATGACGTAGGAGTCGCCATTATAAAAATTCCCAACCTCATCGTTGGGCACCGGTTCAAGGTTGAATTTCTACAACAAAGACGGCCATTGATGTTGATGAAACCAATTACAACCGAGAAACCGTATGGACAGCTGTAGAATGGAATTCTTACTCGAGTTATAAAATCCGAAACCTAATTGCCATCTGTTATTTCTGAAACAAAAGTAACGGATTGTGGAAGTTGGGATTACCAACCAACCTGCATCAGAAGGGAATAAACAAACGGTTTGAAAGTTCAACTGCAGAAGGGCTAGGAGTCACAGGGAAAAGGGAGGAGAAACAATATCCTTGATCTACAGAGACTTGGACAGGAAATACACTTCGATCCCATAAATCGTACAGACATCAAAGTTCGACCGCTAAATTTTGGCATATCATTAAGCCATTGAAGCACACAAAACCTTTCC